TGTCATATTTTTAAGGAAAAAGAACTTACTCAATTATACAACATTTTCCAATAACAATATATAACGGATCGTGATTAATATTATTTTTTCTTTTCTGAAATTCATAAATGTATGTGGCTCAATCTTGTATTTCGACTGAATTAGTTCATTTTTTTTTCGGGTATTTCTAGTTTTTTTTTTGAATCTCAATCCCTCCTTACAATAACCTAATGGAAAATAGTTAAACTTAGAGATCAAAGGCTGAATTAAGAGAAAGATCTGGTCGTCTCCTTTCTCAATAATTTAAAACAAGAAAAAAACCAAGTAATTGTTTGCGATTGGTTAACACACTTCAGTGCTTAGTAACCCATTTTAAAGACGCAGTGAATGATTTACCAAGTTGTGTTAATACAATCAGGTTTACAACAAATCAATAATAATCAAGCAATAATGTAAAGCACACCAGCATATACATGGTTTGACTAAATCCCACTTTTAGCCTACATCCATGGGACCTTCGTCTAGATCGAAGCAATCCACTAAAAAAAACATTACAAGATATAGTTCAAAGTGATCTAAGATCAGTAAAAGACTCCTTGTTCAACTTTACACTTAGCACCATACTCTGAATCTCTAATGTCTTGTTGCACCAGGATCTTTCACCTAGGTTCACTTCTGGAAAATGCTTGGCTCCACCTGTAAGTATGATCTACCATATGCATGGAAAACAAAAATTTAATCGGTAATCTATTACTTTCTTTGCCTAGATCCAGTATAGATTATATTGTTACTGTTTATAAACAAAAATCTGTATAAAGTAAATCCATTCAAGATTAGAATTCTTACGTATGTTTAGAGATCATCCGAATATCTCTGACTTTGGACATGAACACTGTTCACGTGATTTTTCGCCAATCGATCCAAAGTAGGATTGCATTCACGGAAGTCCACACGAAGATAATCCGCAGAACCCTTGATTATTGGCTAGAACAATCAGGGCTTCAGAATCAAGAAAGAAGAAAAGAAAGTTTTTTTTTGCGAGAGAGAGAAGAGAGGGTGGCTAGGGTTTTAATTGATGAAATATTCCCATATGTTTTAATTTAAGTTGCACTATATAGTGCAACAATTAAAACCCTATTCCATTAGTAATAGCCATGGGCTCCAACCCTAGTTTACCTTGCAACCAAACACACCCTTTTGGTATTTATTAATAATTATTATTATATTAAATCAATTAATAATAATATAATAATATTTATTAATAATAATAATTTCATTTCAATATGTACAAAGATATATTAAATATAATCTCACTAATTTAATTTTAACATTAAAATTAAATACGGCAACAACCTCGCAAATTTAATTGCATTGTGAAATTACCAAAATACCCTTCTCACAAATTGATTCTTAAATTATTTTTAGGTGTGTGACCTGTAGGCTCCTCATCATATCAGCAATGTGTAGTATCGCGATTAAAATCAATTAATATCTCACTACACATAGACCAATTAGCCCTAGCAAGGAATCATGACCACCTGATAGATTCAGATTCAGTGAAACCGAGCCTGCAATGGTTTGGTTACCGTGAAATCAAATCCTTTCATCAACTGTTATTTCATCGAGACTGAGGTACATTATAGTGTCAACCTCAGATATCCTCGACATGTTTGTATTCAGTTATTGGACCAATGACAGGAATATTAGATGGATTGACATCAACTTAATCCCACTATGGCAAGTTAATCCCACAACTCTCTGAAAATTAGAGCACCAATGGAAAAGATATTACAGATTTAAAAGAAAAACAAACAAGGAGAAGATGAACTTCCTTTTACCTCAAAGATGAAGGATGAAAGTGTTTAGCACAAAACATATGGGAAACCTTTACGAAAACAACTCTCTGAAAGTTTCAGAGCACAAGGCAAAAACAAACATAAAAGTTAGTTCCACAATGAGTAAGAATGAGAAGATATAACCAATTGCAAACAAAGGCTGACATATGTTGTCCAAAAATAGAAAATTCCATTTATCTTTTGGGACCACAACCAAAAGGGGAAAGGCTGATTTTCCCTGGACCAGTAAAGGATATTGGACACCTGTAAGTGGTCCAAATGACAGCACAAAAGATGCAAGAAATACCTTAGCTTTTAAGGACAAAAACATAACTTATGAAAAATGAGTTGACAGCATGTTACACAACAGAAAGATGTCACACACACGAAGTAAATGCGAAATGAATGCAACATGCATATGTTTGACATAAGTGTGCAACCACACATCCACTGTGAACATGCATGAAATGAAAATGCAAAAGGCATAAGTCTGACATAGCTGAACACGCGGAGACAAAAACAATCCAACTTTTTGTTGGACCACAAACATGTGTTTTCTCTTTCTTGCAGGACCACAGACAAAGTCTACAACCACTTAGACCACATAAGGAAATTATACAATGTAAAGTTAGCTCTCACAAGAATATCATGAATTAAATAAACTTGATGGGCAAGACAACAAAGAGAAAATGCCACATGGCAAAATTGTTCACCATAACATAAGTTTGACAAAATATCAACAATCTCCCCCTTGTCAAACTTATGAACAAAGCACTAAATGATCAAAGATCAATACGTACCTATTCACAAAAACAACCAGCATCACATAAAGAGAGACAATATCAACAAACAATAAGAGTGTCATAAACAAATCATGAAAAGCAAATATGACACTAAAAACCATAAATGGTTCAGCATATTTAACAAACAAGGAAAAAGCAAACCCCCCTTAGAGAGTCAACATGAAACAAAAGTAACTTCATTAGTTCAGCCAAAGAGAACAACCAAAAAGAGATCAAATATGCAGTAAAAAAAAATAACAACTAAAAAATAACATATCCAACTTCCAACTCCACTCCCCCTCAATTCAACATCCTCTCCCCCTTTTTGTTCATAAGGTTTGAACCACCTCAATGGTGACTTGATCAACGAGTGGAAGAAAATAAGATTAGAGCAAAGACTTGAAAAAAAAAATCAGGGACATGCAAAGGTTTATACGCAGACAGAGTGTGATAATGATAAAAACAAAAACCCTAAAAACGAGATTTACTTAAATAAGGGCTCTACTCAAACAGATGTGCGCACAACGTGACGTGTGGGCACACACAAATGACTCAACAAAGTGTGAGCATTCAACATATGTAGCACACAAGGGCAGACATCAAGAAAACAAGCCTTTTAAACAAGTTGTAAGCACAACACCCCAATTTGACAGCAAATTCCAAAAGCATCAGACTTTTTTACAAAAAGAAAGATAATTAAATAAATTTAAATAATGAAATGCTTCACGGAATTTTTGAAGATCAAGACAGTCAATCTGTGCAGAACAACCTAAAGATCAAATTTTCAATCTTAAAGGCACAAAAACTCACTACGGAAGTTTGTCAACATAGTGCAATCAAAACACACTTCCTTAATCACACACAGTGAGATAATCTTCAAGAGCTTGTCCTTAGTGAGTGATAGTGTCCTCAAGGGGGTAAAATGACACATTGGTCAATTTTAAATTTTTGCAGAATAAGCTCCCTCTTCCCTCATGCCCAACTATATTTTGTATTTTTTTTTATCAGCACAGTAAATAAAATTTTTTTCTTTTCATTTTGATCAAAGGGCAAATAACTCTCATAAGTGTAACCAAAATGTAGCTTTCACACTTGCACGAAGGTTGTCCTCTTAATGGAGATTTTCCAAAATATAGGGGTCTCTACAAGTCAGAAAATTACTCAAAACAACTTTCACACTTCATGCAAGGTAGCTCTTTCATAATGGTGACAAGAATGGACAATCAACTCATGATGCAATAAGGTCATGTTATAGAGAGAGTCTCAGTAGACACAACATATCAGAGTTAGCACATAGATAAGATAAAATTAATGACAATTAGAGTGCTAGCACAGATCAAGGAATCTTGACAAACAAAAATAAAAGTAGCATGTTCATGCTTTATTCATCGACTAAAATGAAAAACTATTCAAGTTGAAGTAGTCTAATGGACTTCCTTAAGAAAGCAATAGTCAAGTGCTTTTGTAAATAAATCAGCCAATTGGGATTTTGTGTTCACATGAGCAAGTGCAATGATGTTCTCCCTAACTAACTCTCTAATGAAATGATGTCTTATGTCAATGTGCTTAGTCCTAGAATGATGAGTTGGATTCTTAGAGATGTTAATGGCACTCGTGTTATCACAAAAAATAGTCACACAATCTTGATCAACACCATGATCATTCAATATTTGCTTTAACTATAAAGTTTGAGTGCAACAACTCCCTTTGGTAATGTACTCATCCTCAGCAATGGATAGAGAGATTGCATTTTTCTTCTTGCTGTATCATGTCACAAGATTGTTTCCAAGATAGAAACATCCACCCGAAGTACTCTTCCTATCATCCAAACTTCCTGCTCAATCTGCATCACTGTATCCAACTAAGCAACTATTGGAATCAAATGAGTACCAAAGGACAAAATCACACGTACTTGAAACATATTTCATGATTTTTTTCATTGCATTCAAGTGCAATTTAGATTGATTACTTTGAAACCTGGCACAAACGCCAAAACTAAAACAAATATCAGGCCGACTTGCAATTAAGTAAAGAAGACTTCCAATCATGCTTTGGTATATCTTACTGTCTACCTTTTTACAGTGTTTGTCTTTGTATAGCTTAAGGGTAGCACTCATGGGGGTTCTAGCATGCTTTGCATTCTCGAGACAAAATCTTTTCAACATGTTTTTAGTATACTTTGATTGGGAAACAAACATTCCATTATTCATTTGTTTAATTTGAAGTCCAAGAAACATATTCAATTCCCCTACCATACTCATCTCAAACTCATTTTCATCAGAGTAATGAATTCAAGTGCATGTGAATGAGATGTAAAACCAAACACACTGTCATCAACGTAAATTTATGCACACATGATTTCAATTTTAACACGCTTAATGAAAAGGGTTTTGTCGGCATTACCTCATTCATAGTTATGCTCGAGAAGAAAAGTTGTCAACCTTTCATACCAAGCCCGTGAGGCTTGTTTTGAACCATAGAGAGCTTTCTTCAATCTGAATACATGATCAGGTTTGTGGGGATCTTGAAAGTCAGTCGATTGTTCAACATATACTTCTCTAGTGAGCATTCCATTCAAGAAGGTGCTTTTGACATCCATTTGGAATAATTTGATCTTGAGGTAGCAGGCAACAAACATTAGCAACTGGATTGATTCAAGTTGAGCAACAACGGTGAAGGTTTCATCAAAGTTGATTCCTTCAACTTGTGTATATCCTTGAGCTACAAGGCTAGCTTTGTTCCTGACAACATTACCAAACTCATCAGTTTTATTTTTGAAAACCCATTTGGTACCTATTATGTTGATTCCCTCAGGCCTAGATATAAGCATCCGCACATCATTCCTTTCAAATTTTTCTAGTTCTTCATGCATGGCCTCAATCTAATTTTCATTTTCCAAAGCCTGTTTGACATTATTCGGTTCTGTAGGAGACATATAGCACATATGATTAATTTCATTTTCTCTTCTCCTCTTTGTAACCATTACCTCATTTGGATCTCTAATCACGGTTGAAAGTGGATGAGCTTTTTGAATGCATGTTGGTGGATCTTTTCTTCTTTGGTTTCTCCTTTGAATGTTTTCATCAAAAAGATCAATAACTAGCTTTATCTTTTCATTTTGCAATGATGAATTAGTAGATGATTCTTTGCATGGAGCAGATCCTGTTGCTATAGCACCAAGAGCAGGTGACAACACATTTGCCGAAAGTTTAGGTTCAGGAGATTCAACAGTGTTCACACTATCTTGTGTGGGCACAGAGGAATAAATATGTCCTGAATTTCACATTCTTGAGAATATTCTGAAAAATATTCTACATCACTAAACACAACATTAATGGATTTTAAGACTTTTTTAGAACGCATGTTATAGATCCTAAATGCACGGCTATTGGAAGATTATCCAATAAAAACTCCTTTATCACTCATAGAATCAAACTTACCTAAATTCTCTCTATCATTCAAAATGTAACATTTGCATCCAAACACATGAAAATATGAGAGATTAGGTTTCTTACCTTTCCACAGCTCATAGGGAGTTTGAACAGTACCTTTTCAAAGGTAAACTCTATTGGAAATATGACATGCCGTGTTAATGGCTTCTGCCTAAAGTCTTGTAGGTAGCTTTTTGGCATTAAGTATTACCCTAACCATCTCTTGAAGCACTCTGTTTTTCCTTTCCACAACACCATTTTGTTGAGGTGTTTTTGGTGCTGAAAATTCATGAAATATGCCTTGCAATTCACAAAAATTAGCAAAATCATCATTCTCAAATTTCTTTCCATGGTCACTCCTAATTCTCACAATCTTTGTAGCGTTAGAACTCTTCTCAACAAGCAATCTTTTAGCCAATTTCTGAAAAGCATTAAAAGAATCAGATTTCTCACACAAAAAATCAACCCAAGCATACCTTGAAAAATCATCACCACAAAAAAACACATACCTCTTACCTCCTAAACTCTCGCTTTGCATAAGACCCATTAGATCCATATGGAGCAATTCCAAAACACATGAGGTATTGAGATTTGAGAAAGTTTTATGAGATATTCTGGTTTGTTTACCTTGGTGGCATGGACCACACACATCACCTTTTGGAAGTTCAAGCTTCGGTAGTTCTTTAACCACTTCCTTCTTTGAGAGTCTTACCAAGTCCTTGAAGTTCATGTGATCAAGCTTCTCATGCCACAAGTTAGTGAAATCTGTTTTTTAACTAAAACATGACACACGGTTAGAAAGCAAGTAACAATTGTCATTTGACATTTTTCCCTCAAGTAGAGAAACACCTTTACCATTCAAGATTTGACACTTGTTCTTTGAGAATTGAACCACAAAATTTTTGTCACAAATTTAACCAATACAAATCAAATTACCTTTCAAACCATCAACAAGTAAGACATCATTCAAAACAGGAAAATCAAGTAAAACAATTGATCCTTTGCCAAGAATTTTACCTTTCTTCCCATTTCCATAAGTGATATGTCCACTATCAACCGATTCAAGTCCAGTCAATAGAGATTTATTACCTATCATTTTGAAATGCAAGCAAAGAAGTATGAGACACAAAACAGTTCACATCAGCCTTAGGTTTCCAAACTTTTTTTGAAAGAAAAACCATTATTAGTATTATGATTTACACTGGCAACAAAACTATGTTTTTTAAAAACTTTCTTCAAATAAGCAATGAATCTGAAGCATTTGGGTCTGATGTAACCTTTCCTGTTACAAAAATGACAAATAGGAATGAATTTTGATACCTTTGCACCTTGTCTCATAGCAGTGCCTTCTGTAGGAGTTCTGGTGGCTTTCACAAACATGTTAGCACCAGCTTTCGATGTGTTAGCACCAGGACTGAAGCCCGAACCACATCAATCTCTGAAGGGCTTTCCTTGACTAAGTACTTCATCAAGCTTAAGAGAACCTACATTCAACTTATTAATGATGGGCTTAGCCTCAGTTAGTTCAGCAGTAAGAGCAACTATTTTTTCGGACAAGACTTTCTTTTATTTCAACAAGGAACCATTCTCAATACCAAGAGATTGCAACTTTTTCACAGCCTTTAGCCATTGGTCACACATCTTATCATATGCTTCTTGTTGCTCAGCATAGGTATCTTCAATGTCGTCTGAAACTTCACTCTTACCATCTTCTTGATTCACAATGAAGGCTAAAACATTCTCATCATCACCCTCATCATCATGCTCACTCTCACTCTCACTCAAAGTGGCACCCATGGTTTTACCTTTCTTCCTTTTTAGTGTGTTAGCACACTCAGATTGTATGTGCCTGAAGCCCTCACATTCAAATCACTTGATACCTTTATTTTTCTTTTCTTTATCACTTGAAAATTTCTTTGTAAAGGTACTAGGGTTTTGATGGTCATAAGGCTTTTTCACAAAAGGTTTTTGGCCATAACCACTATTATGATGCTTTGTCATGTTTTTCGTTAAAAACTTTGAAAAATTGTTTGTAAGTAAAGCACAATTTTCATCATCCAAAGAACTCAAAACATAGTCATCAAAAGGATCAGAATCAACCTCATGTTTGAGAGCCAAACCTTTGCTCAGTTTCTGTTTTTCCCATCGTTGCAGATTCAACTCATAGGTTTGGAGAGAGCCAATGAGTTCATCAATGTCCATAGCATGTAAATCTCAACATTCTTTAATGGTGGTGACCTTTGATATAAATCTCTAGGGCAAAGAGCAAAACACTTTCCTGACAAGTTCGGCATTAGTATATGTTTTTCCCAAAGCAAAACATTCATTAGAAATATCACAAACTCTACTATAAAAATTAGTTATAGTCTCATCCTCTTCCATGTTCAAATTTTCAAAATCAGTGACAAGTCTTCTAAACCTATTTCTTTTAACAACACTAGTTCCCTCATTCTTGACTTGAAGCCTATCCCAAGCATCTTTAGCAAGCTCACAATTAGCTATGACTTTCATTTGGTTCACATTAATAGCATTAAAAAGTGCATGAAGGGCTTTAGAGTTATAATTAGTGAGAGTTATTTCATCAGTAGTCCAACTATCAACAAGTTTTGGTCTAGACACTTCATTTTCAATAATAACCGGGGCCGCCTAACCATTCACAACTGTGGATCAAACTCTTTCATTTATAGATTTAAGGAAGACACACATCCTAGGTCTCCATGTGTAATAGTTAGGTCCTTCTAATAGAGGTCTATGGGTAGATCCACCTTCAATGAAGAAATTCATGACGAAAAACAATCAGACAGATGCTAACACACAAATGGAAGTATACACACAAACAAACAACGGATCTGAAGTAAAAACGCAATACATAACATATTTCGTCCACTAGCCAGATCACTCAAATGCAAACTAAAAAAAGTAAGATGGCTAAGGGTCTATTGAAGTAACTTATCAGAATTTGCTCTGATACCACTTGCTGGGGATTGGTTAACACACTTCAGTGTTTAAGTACCCATTTTAAAGACGCAGCGGAATGATTTACTAAGTTGTGTTAATACAATCAAGTTTACAACAAATCAATAATAATCAAGAAGTAAATGTTAAGCACACCAGCATATACATGGTTTGGCTAAATCCACTTTTAGCCTACATCCATGGGGCCTCGTCCAGATCGAAGCAAATCCACTAATCAACAAACATTACAAGATATAGTTCAAAGTTGATCTAAGATACAGTAAAAAGAATTCCCTGTTCAACTTTACACTTAGCACCACACTCTGAATCTCTAATGTCTTGTTGCACCAAGGATCTCTTCACAACAGTTTCACTCTTGGAAAACACTTGAGCCCACCCAAGCTTCAGTCATTGAAGACACTCTCTAGCATTAGCAAAGAAACCATGTTCCAGCTGCCATTCAACAATGAAGATAAACAAGAAAGTTTCTAGCACAAACCCATATAAAAGAACCCAACCAAGAACAACTCTCTGAAAAGTTCAGAGCACCAATGAAATAGATATTCAGGTTCAAAAAGAAAAAAACAAACAAGGAAGAAGACAAACTTCCTTTTAGCTTAACAAAGATGAAGGATGATAAGTGTTTAGCACAAAAACATATGGGAAACCTTTACAGAAAAAACTCTCTGAAAGTTTCAGAGCACAAGGCAAGAACAAACATAAAGGTTAGTTCACAAATGAGCAAGAATGAAGAAGTTATAGACCAATTTCTTGCTCCCCAATTCTTGCTAAGTCAGCAAACAAGGGCTGACATATGTTGGTCCAAAAATGGAAAAGATTCCATCTATCTTTTGGGACCACAACCAAAATGGGAAAATACTGATTTTCCCTGGACCACTAAAGGATATTGGGACACTTGTAAGTGGTCCAAATGATAGCACAAAAGATATAAAGAAAATACCTTAGCTGTTAAGGATAAAAACGCAACTTATGAAAAATGAGTTAGACATGTGATGTTAGCACAACAGAAATCTGTGCACACACACACGAAGTAAAATGCAAAATGAATTGCAATATGCATATGTCTGACATAAGTGTACAAGCACACATCCATTATGAACACACATGAAATGAAAATGCAAAAGGCATAATTCTGACATAGTTGAACACGTGGAGGACAAAAACAATTCCAACTTTTTGTTGCACAAACATGTGTTTTCTCTTTCTTGCAGGATCACAGACAAAGTCTTACAACCTCTTTGGACCACATAAGGAAATCGTGATATATGTAAAGTTAGCTCTTACAAGAATATCATGAATCAAAATAAACTTGATGGGCAAGACAACAAAGAGAAAATACCATATGGCAAAATGTGTTACTATAACATAAGTTTGACAAAAATATCAACAGTAACAATAAATATACTTAATCTATTTCTTCAAAATATGGAAAAGAATTGTCAGGGCTTAGGCCCCGTGTTTTCACCCCGTCTTAACTTGTATAAGAGAGACAAAGAATAAATTAAAGTTTATTTGATTCACTGGCTGTAAAAACAATGAAAGATGAAAGACAAAGAATCACCCCGTTTTTTTTTCAAGAAGGAAAGTAAAAACAAAACAAGTATTTTTTCAATTTTTTTATTGTACAACTAATGCTATACATATAAAATTTGGATCCCATTGCCAGGTTCAAAGTAATGTGCTTGCTTATACGGTAACATTACATTAATTTTAAGATGATGGAATTTGTGTTAACTTAATTTTCTATAACCAATTTAGTGTTGAAATATAAACAAGAAGTTGGAATCAAAAGTTGGGACTTGAAATCAACTTAATTTGTAAAAATGTTCATATTCCATTGAATTTACACAGTTTTTAAAGTAATGAAGTAATTGGCTTTCTTCAATTGACAAGTTGGCATTGGATGGATGCTGCCTTTCAGAGACAGAAATAGACAAATTGATATATATGTATTCCCAGCTTTTACTTTATATGATTTATGTATTATTATTCCTTTTTTCGGTCATGAAAATTAAAAAACATAATAATAATTATTAAAGAAAACAAATAAAATAAAAGGATTATTGAAGGAAACTTGGAATTCGTAGAACGACTGTGCACATGCGTTAGAAGCTACGATTACGGTAAACTTGGACACATTATAGGGGTCAAAGTTCTTATTCAATAAAAATGGTCCAATTACTTTAAATACTACTTTTACTTGTGATTTATGTTCTTAATTTGTTGAAACTTGAAAGACAAAACACGTTGATCTCTCTTACTTTATATATATATATATTCCTTTTGTCAATCACGAAACAGTAAATTCCTTTTGTCAATCACGAAACAGTAAATGTAGTTTATGAGGCCAAATTAATATTCGAATTTATTTTTAAAAATGTGATAAAAAGAGTAAAAAGAAAATAATATAGTTTAATTCCATTAATCCAAATAATAAATATGTCCGAAAATGAAATAGAACACCATAGATCGTACGAACTTGACCTCAAAAATCATCATCAATAATTTATTTATGCTATAATCATTAATAAATGTCCTTAGACAATGAATTGTTAACCATGGTCTTGATATTATATAGGGACCTTTTGATTAGAAATATATATATATATATATATATTGTAATTTAAATTTTTTATTTAAACTAACGCTTAAAATTTCAGCCATTGATTTTAAATAATTTAATGGTTGAAGAGTATAAAGTTACAAGTAGTCATTTTATGTGTCACTTTATTATATTTTCAACTGTTGAATTATGATTTATCAATAACTATAAATCATTATCTCAAATCAAGTAAAAAAATTACGTTATCTATATATATAACGTAATTTTTTTACTTAATTTGAGATATTGATAAGCTTATGAATTTAAGACAAACCTCAAGGACTAAAATATATTTAACACCATTGATCTAATTCTCTCTTCCTTGTTGACGAGGTGGAATCACAACATAAATTAAGTTTTATAATTCAAATTTAATTTATACTAAAAATAAATAAAGAAAGTACTGTATCACTTAATCCTATTAATAATGGGCTTCATAAAAGAAAGAAAACCTTTGATTAAGGTGCTTCAACTTGATCACACGAAAGATAACATTCGTGCATCTTCATTTATTTAAAATAATAATAATAATACTTTATTTCACTCTAACTAAAAATAACATAAAGATTATTAAGAGAATAAACTTTTAGTTATAATGTGTTGATGTTCATCAGGCAATTTTCACTATAAAAAGGTCTCGAAGGAAGTGCCACGTACAACAATAATGATCAGCTTTCTCGAGGATGGCCTCTTCTTTATCACAGCAGCCCATTGCGGCCTCTTCTTGGTCAAAGCCTATGAGTACGTAGTAGAAAATTAATTGTAACAAACAAACAAAATACGAATGTGAGAATTTTCATCTTGTAGTTTGTGTGTTTTTATTGCAGACGATCTCACACGTTACCTGCCACTGCATAAAGCTATACTAGAGGGTGTTAACATAAGAAACAAAGCAAATGTTGACTGAAGTTGACCAATATCAGTTGACTTAGTTGACTGTTATTTTGTTTGTATTCTGTTACATTTAGTTGAGCTTTCAGTTGTAACAATAAGTGTATAAAGACTTCACAGTATACTTGTTTCCATTCAAGAAATATAACAAACACGTTTCTTCCTAAAATTTTCTTTCTTTTTCTCTCACTTTCTTAACTTTCTTGTTCACTGTCATTATTCATTTGGTATCAGAGCCATCGACAAACGTCACCAATGGCTGATTCCTCTTCAATTCCTTCCTCATTTAACAATTCGAACAAAATCTCTTCAGATATTGTTAACCTCA